CTCTCTCTCTCTCTCTCTCTCTCTCTCTCTCTCTCTACACACACACACTTTTGTCTCCATCGCCGTTGGTACAGAAGCACCATCGGCGTCGACGCCCGTCGCACATGAGGATCATCGCATACCAACGATGTAATAACCCGACCCTCGTATGTGATTCTGATATATTCTCAGTCCCTTACTCTGTGCTTTCAAATGCTTACTGTAAAATTTTATGAGGAATTAAGGTTAATTAAGTGAATCCTATGATTATGGATACATATCTGTTCAATAAGAAAGTATCTGTCACGATTAGAATGTTTGAATCAGAAATTGAGGGCCTTAGAGACTTGATAATCCGAAATTGACTTCATATTTGAAATCAACATAATTTTTAGGTAATAATAAGCATTTCTGTAAAATTTCAATTTAGGATGATTAAACGATTGATTTTTGTCCTATTCATTTCTTATAGATATATATATGTTCTTTAACCATTTGACTTAAGAATTCCTAGCTCAAAATATCTCCTGGGAGAGGATAATGAGAATAGAGAGAAAGGAACTAGAAAGGAGCTTCTTCAAGATCAAAAATTGGATGATTTAGAGGAAATTTAGGAGGTTTAAGATCACAAGTAAGTTTACTCATCCCCTATGACTCCTTCCTTGAATTTGAGTAAGGTTTCTTCACAATTATGTAACCTAGGGCATGAAATTGAACTTAATGTATGATCAATGTTTAACTTGGTTTATATTTTGTCACTTAGATAATGTAGAATTAGGTTGGTTATGCAAAGATAAAAGAACTATCTTTTATTGCTTGATTTTTCATGTAGGACTTATTTAGTTTTACATATGTGATGTTGTATGCAAAAAAGGAATTAAGTTATGTTTTTGGGAGTAAGAATTAAAGAGCTAGTTTATAGCTAGATTGAGGTGTGTTGTGATTCATATTCACATGATTTTAGACCATGTTCTAGCAACTAAGGGAGCTATTTTGAGCCTTGTTAATGTTCACCAAAAATGGGACTTTGTTTGAATTTTCGAACTGCTGCTGGATAGGATCGCCGCACGTGCGGGAGTCATGGCCGAACGTGCGGGGAATTGGGAAATTTCTGGGTTTTAGTTCTGCTAAAAAGGCACGTGCGAGACCAACCGCCGCACGTGCGGCCCATACTGCAAAACTTTGTTCGCTCTGCTTTACGTGGTTGGTCCTCTGGTATTTTTGAAATCTGTATTTGATGTTTTTAAGTTATCTGTAAATTCATGCGAAGTGAAATGAGTCAGAAAATGAATTAAGAAGGAAAAAGAATTAATGTATACATTGTGCCTATGTGTAGGTCGTAACTCGGGAGGAGCAAGCACTTCGCTACAGCACTATGAGTAGTAGTACTGTAATCGTATGTTTAGTACCGTTAATGATTTTTATTATTAACACTCTGCTCTTTGCAAGTAATTACGTTAACGTTATGTTGTTTGGCAATCGGTGAGGATGTTGGAAAGCTCTGTGTACATCGACATGACTCTGGAACTACGGTTAATAGTTAGCATTAATGTGCCATAACCTGTAAGTTACCAATGGCTCTGCATAAGAATTACATACGAATTATTAATACTGTGCAATTAGTTGACGGGAAAGAATTAAGAATGTAAACCCCGCTTACTGGAAACACGAGATTCTGAAGGTCCTACCAGGGACTTCTATAGTCTGTATGGTGCAATACACGTCTTACGACGTAGATATTTGCCTAGTATGTTCATCGAAAATAATAATCAAATAAAACTACAGGTTGCTTTATACGTCAGTGACTGTTGAGAAACTATGATAACTATCGAATTAACCTATGAATGATTCAACCTGAGGAAAGAACTGGAAATCAATACCATTATTATGTGACTCACGTTATAAGGTGAATTATTCTATCCCTACTGATCGTACTGTAATGATACATGTGACTTCTGTCAATGAGCATTGTTAATGTACTGATACACATAAGATAATTATGTCAACTTGTAAGAAACCATGGAGTACTTTATGAACACTATTATGAAATTATATTCATATGGACCTAAGATATTCTATTCCGTTTAATCGTTATGTTTATGCCATGACGTGATATGAATTGTTCTGTTTTTAAGACCTACTAATTTCTGGTATGGAACAAAGTGCTGCAGTGCGAAACACCTCTTGAGTCCATACATCTATGAACTGAGCTTAAAGCTAATCTGTTGGTATTCTGGGCTTAAAGCTGATTTGTTAATGTCTGGGCCTATGGCCGTTCTATGAAATCTGTGAGGCCTATGGCCGTTCTGTGATATCTGGGCCTATGGCCAATCTGTAAGCTCTATTAGGCCTATGGCCATTCAGTATAATCTGTTATGGTACGAAAAAAAGTGTTGTACGGAACTAAGTGCTACAATGTGAGTCACCTCTAGAATCCGTGCGAGACACCTCTTGAGTTCATACATGCAAGACTGCGCTTAAGGCCACTCTGTTTAAGGGCTTAACGCCACTCTGTTTAAGGGCTCAATGCCACTCTATTCAAGGGCTTAAAGCCATTCTATTTGAAGACTAGGCCCAAGGCCGTTCTAGAAACAACTACAGGATAAGATTAACTACATGTATTTTGCATTATACACGCATTGACATGCATTGTAATTCAAGTTGATCATTGAATTATTAAAGTACTATTATTCACTGAGATTGTCTCACTCCGTATTTTGTCTGATTCTGTAGGTAGCAAATCTGGAGGTCAGCCTTAACCCTTGATGCTCGTCCCTCTCTTGTCAACCTCTGTGTGTCCAGGCATTTGGATGAGGCCTGCCCATTTTTGTGGAGTTTTGCTAAGCTTTTGATTTGTACGCTAATTGTCTATATTATGTTTCCAATATTTTTGTTATACGCCCAAGCAAGGGGCGGTGTTTGTATATGTGTATGTAAATATTCACCATCTAATGCACTGTTTGTGATCCTGGCATGATAGTGGTCGCTCAATGGATGTAGTTTCTTTTTATTTTATGTTATTTTATAGTATGTAATGCTTCCGTTCAGGCCCCATATCTTGTGTACATCGAGTTAAGTGTCTGTATCTGAAGTGGTCATGCCCAAACATTTAAGGGCGGGTTTGGGGCGTGACAAACAGCCTATATCATCTTATCTCGTAGTCACGATCCATCATTGGGGCACTAGCCAAGGTATGTCCTCTCGGTTTCTCTCTCTCTCTCTCTCTGTATATATATATATATATATGTGTGTGTGTATCTCTATATCTCTATCTTTGTTCCCCTAATTTCGGCCTCTAAGGTTTTTTTCTTCTTTCATCCGCATACCTTCTTCATGCAAACCTACCCTTAAATCAACCCAGCTACCGCCATTCATATAGCGGGCAAATGGTTTCCTTCACTCTTCCCGTCTTTACCTCCATATCTGCGAAATCCATTCTTGAAACCCCTCCTCAAACCTTCATTTCCTAAACAATTGAAAGCACCAAGTGTTTATTTTAAATGTGGTATAAAAAGCATGATCTGAGATTAAGCATTTTGATTTTATTGCCTTGTATTTGTATGAAGTTGGATTTGCTCTGAAACTGTGTAACAAAGCTGATGCTAACATTTAGAGCCCTCAGTTTTGGTTATTGTAACTGTGTAACATTCAGCCACTATAGAGTTCAATAATCTAGATTTTGACAATATGAGTCTAAATAATTTGGAATTTGACTGTATGCTAGCATCGATTAACTATTGGCATTGTTACCTTTATCTTCAAATGGAACTTGGATTTTAAACTGTATGAAGAAGTTGTGGGAACAGATGGTATGTAAATGAGACAGCCCCCGAACCACTTAAGTGATGTTTCTGGGTTTGAATTTGCACTTGGGGCTTTGGGTTCTTTGCTATCTTATGTACAACTACTTGCTGATGAGAGCAATTATGGAATTTATAGTATTTGACAGTACAATTATGGAAGTTCTTTGCTATCCTACGTGAGGTTAGATTCTGTTGCCATGAGGGCTCTAAATTTCCATAACATACTTAAAAAAGGCACTTATATACGATTCCCGCGAGGGAAACACGGATCAAACAACTCGCCTCTCTCTCTCTCTCTCTCTCTCTCTCTCTCTCTCTCAAATTCTCTAAAACTGTTTGTGTGTGGGGGGGTGATTTGAGGAGGGTGATTTGGTTGGTTGGAAGAAAATGGAAGCAGCGATGGGATTGATGAGAAGAATTCCTCCGAAGCACATGGAGACTGCTCTCTCTGCTCTCCTCAGCCTTTTGCCTGACCACTCCTCTCATCTCATTTCCCAAGTCAATCAGCCTCTTTAGGTCCTCCTTTCTCATGTCATTTCTTTGTTTTTTACTTTGATCCGGTTTTTTTGTTGTCTTGCGATTTGTGTGCGTAAACACGACAATTACTTTTCAATTTGCCTTCCTTCTGTATCTTCGATTGCATTCCATTAACAAGATTTGTGGATCTTAGATTTGTCAAAAATTGATTTTTTACTGCTAATTTCTGGAAATGATATCTTCTCTCTCTCATATAATTGGGAAAGTTTCTTTCAAAGTGGCAAGGACAGGTATTGTGTGATGTGGATTGTGGAAAGGAGTTCATCTTATGTGAATACAACAGAGATGCTGACTCCTATAGATAAAAATGCTCACCTCCTGAATACCTGTAATCAAAATTATCACTTTTATAGCATGTTAACCTTAATTTTCCCAAATGGTGTTGGTTTCCTAACAATCAGAATCAATAATTAAGCTAAGCACTTGTCTTGTGAACAACTTAACATTGCTTGCTTTGTTCCATCTATTTCTGTTTTGGAAACAGGGCTGTGAACTTGCCCAAGTAAAAAAAGGAAAAAAAGAAAAAGAAAAAGAAAAAAAAGAGAGAAGAAAGTAATGAAACATTCTAACATTAACTACCTAAATCTTGTAGGGTTCTTGCACTACATCCGTTTCAACGCACCAATACTCAACAAATATGTGCTCAATTTTTTGATTGGCCTCCTGAGAAAACAGGTTTTGTAATTCACATTCTTAATTATGTATTCTAGAGTAACTTGCAAGCATGCACATGCTCACATCATTTGGATTCATGAGCTTTTTCGAGTTAGGTATCTGTACTTCTATCATCTAGTTGGTTCACTGGTTCATTTACAAGACAATATCAATTAGCTCCTTATTGGGCTGTTCCTCAGCTTATAGATTTTTGTTACAGCATGGGCAACCAGTATTGGAACCTTTCTTTCGGAGTTTTAGTAACACTGCCAGCTGATCATGACTATTGTTTTCACATTTTTCTGTTGATCAAGATGAGAAGGAATGGCTAGGCTACTAATGAGAATTTTATTTATTATTTTGTGGTTGAAATTGGGATTTTTTTTTTCTCTGATGTTCTAAATTTAGAAATTTGAAATGGTCAAATAGCGTTCAACTACTATTATTCAAAAACCTGAAATTGCGGAGAGGAAGTATGATATTTTTTAATCAGTGAGAATCACAAAGGAAAAAAAAAGAGTTGTTCCTCATGCGATTAAGAGGGAGGCCTATTCTATCTATTTTCATAGTTATCTTGTTTGGTATTTGTGTTTCAGATGAGTATATCCTACCTAAGATTGCTGAAAGAGACCTACGGCGGTTTGCTAATTTGCGTTCTACTTCATCAGAACTAGGACTTAGGCTTCCATTGGACAAGGTACTGTTTGATAGTTTTTACTTTTTTTATCCTACAATTTTACTCAATTGTATGGCATGTTGAACTTCAATCTCTTTTGAAGTAATCAATTGACTCACTCCCAGAAGGCGAACTTGTATTGCTACTATATTTGGGAGTTAATATTACTAGGCTTGCTTGGACATTTTAGGAAATTGGAATTTATTTTATTATTTTCTTTCTCAATAGGGTTTGAGACAAAAGTATATATATATATATATATTTAATGGAGCCAGTACAACCTTCCTCCCACTATGAAAGCTAGTTGTGCCATCCATCTATGGAGCAATTGATAAACTTTCCGATGTTTGGGGCTTTTGATAGAATACACGATAGATCCTTTCTTGGCCATCAAAATCATTACAATACGTACCAACTGCCTCCTGGAGTGAGTCTGCTCTAATGGCACTTGTGTAATCCATGGAGTAGCATTCAACCCCATAAACAATAAGGGGCAAAATTAGAGCCATCAACATCATTATTACAGAAAAACCCAAGGATGTCTTTTCATGCTTGGATAAATTGAGTTCATAACTAAATGGCTTCATAAAGTGCCCGGCATGTGTAATATGAATAATTGGTGAATTTTGATTTTATATACTTGTATACTTTCATCTTTGTACTCCATGGTATCAAAATTTCGGCAAATAATTCATTTGGGGTTCTATCATGTCACTCTATTGACCATGATTTTGTTGTTTCAATACTTGGCACCGACTGATAACTCTTTTTTGAGTACAGATGCCTGTCAAGTGTCCAGTATCTGGAATCATCAAGCAGAGAAAAATTCAAGGACAAGATTGCTTGGAGGTTTCCTGGGAAGAAATGCATGGGCTTAACACCTCAATAGTTCCAGCTGATCTAATTGAGAGGTAATGACCATCACTATTGGTATTGTCATAGTTGTTGTACTGGACTACTAGTAAAATAGTAACAATTAATTGATTGCATTTCCATCTATTTCTTTGATGGAACAATTAATAGTAACCATCACTATGGGCTTAACACCTCAATTGTTTTTTTCTGTTTTGGCGACCAATTGATTAGTTGGGAAAGATAACTAATACTTTTGTCGACTAAATAATTAGTCGTTAGAGTCATTAATTTTGGCGACTGTAGACACCCCATTTTTAGGTGGCGACTCTGTATCTGGCAAAGCAGTCCATGTTTGGCACTACTTTTCAAAAAACTGTTTCTCAAAACGATTTGCCAGATTTGGACTCTTTGGTTCAGATTAAGAACCGTGACACAAGTCGAGTCCGAACTGTGGTAACCCCAAATGAACTGAACGGGACTAACCCTCCCGGGGCGTTCGGGGGACGTCTACAGCGACCAAAAAGGAATTCGTCATGATAAAGACATAGATGAACATGAAAACACTTTCTAAGACACTAGAAGTATGCTAAGCACAGGGTTGATGAGCCCATTTGATCTAAAGCTTTTTTACTCTTGACCTTTTGAATATGATTATCAGATAGCTGATAAATTCATTAAGATTAGGTAACCAAGAATGGAACTAACTAAAAAATAGGTCATGTCCCATACAAAAGACTCTTGTCATGTCAATGCAAGATGGGAGGGTCAAAAGTACACAACCTTACCTTTGCTGTGAAAATATTATTTATGTGCTTCGAACCCTTGACAAGCAAGTCACAATAGGCTATTCCAACCCTCTAAGGTGGAAACTAATTAAAATTAAATGACACAGAGAATTCTTTTGATGCAATTTATGATGATTTATGTAAAAAAATTCTGTTTGTCAATTATTTTTCTTATGCAATTTAGTTGTTAAGGCAACAGCTTGGTGGTCCTATATTAGATGATTCAAACAATGACAGTACTGAAGTTACTTTGGCCTAAGCATAGCTAAAAAATCAATCTCATGAGAGCCATTTAACTGAAGAAGTTCTCATTGTTTCACATAATAATTGGACAATGTCTAGTATAAACAAGAAATAAAGAACACTAAATTCTTTCATAAAATCCTTGAATTATCTCAGTGAACATCACCTTCAAAGAGTGTATTAACAAGAGATATTGTGTATAGAGAGATGTGGGGAGCGGGGTCTCTAACCTGGATCTGCATCATTTTGATAGATTCCTTTCCACTTTGATGGAATTGGTCCCATTTCTTCATCACTAAAACTCTTTGATTCAGGCCACACACCTGGCTTGATCACATCGATGAAGGGTGAGTGCACAGAAACTAAAAGATCATAGCAATAGAAAATTAAAAATGGTACCTTATCGATCTGATCACAAATGTCAAAATATCATTTAAGACATGATCTGATCACATTTGCCTTACCAAAAATGGGTCGTAGGTGTGATTTTGAGAATATACCATTCATTTTTTCAAAGACAAATGTGATTCAATCATATGGCTACCAATATATGATCATCGTGATTTTTTGCATAAATACTTTGCTCAATAGGCCCAATAAGATGAATAATTTGGATCATCAAGATGAGCTCCAAGATGGGTCTCTTAAGACCTGACGAAACCTCTATAATGCATGCATGTATGTACCTTTCTGAATTCATAGAATAGCTTTTGTTGATGGTCAAACATGGCTTGGTGACAGGACAAGCTGTATTAAATGATGCTTTGTCATATATATGAAACATCAATGAGCTTGAGAAATATGAAAATTCAATACCAGAGCTTAGTTAATTCCCCAGAGTTTATTAACGCTAAATGTTATCTAGGATGAGCATAAAGCTTACATGAAAGTCAACTTTCCAGTTATTAAACAACTATAGGAAGAGTAATGCAGATCTACAACAATTTCTAAGCAAGAAAATTAAAGAAAAAATTAGAAAATTTAAACTATTATTATGCACTAAAACATATCTAGGATCTAGGTTGACTTGGCGAAATGAACTCAAATTTGATAGTAAGATTTTTGATCATATTGAAATTCAAATTAAGAGTGGGGAGAGAGTGGCACCCAATATCAAGGTTGGCTATGATAGTATCCTCGCCGAATCACGCCTTCTTCCAAATTGAGCTGGAATGTATGACATCATTATCCTCAAGGCCCAAGAATTCCCATGACCCGGTTGTGTGTAATTTTCTTCCCATGTTCAAGAACATTGAGATTACCTTAGGATGCTCTGCATTTCATGAGAATTATCACCATGATTAGTACATGAAAAGAAGTTAGTGGCACTGTTTGGTGCAACTTCTAGGAATGTCAAGAAAAAACAAGTATATTATCACCATGATTAATACATGATTAATATATTTATTATTTAAAAAAACAATTATAATTTAAAAACAAGTATATTATATTATTTTACACCTGCTGCTGTTGATTTGTTTAGGATCCTTGGTGAGCAAGTGAAATTGCTCGTGAAAATAGCACTGATGTCATGCTGTACAGAATTGCTTTGTCCATTATTTAGGTAAGTTCAGCTTTACAAGTTTTACTTAAATTATATACCTTATTCAATGGGAGGCCATGTTCTATTTTTAATTGTGGACAGTTATTTCATTAGTCTTCTTTGTGCATAATGTATAGAGTAATAATATCTTTTATAGTAATCTCATCACAAAAAATTAGGACGCTGAGAGGGAACTTTCTTCATATGGAGTCACCACCCTATTTGAATGTCAACTTAGTGTTACAAAATTAGTGTCAACTTGGGGGCACTTGAGTGAGAAAATTAGTGGCCCTTTCCTTGTAAGTGTTGCTGACTGGTTAATGCCAACATCCATCCTTTTTTCAGAAATAAAAGAAGTCTAAGCTTATTTAAATGGTGGGTCAAACTATCATATGTCTAGTTAATGCGATACATATTGTGTAACAGAAAGATTTATGGCCTTAGTAGTGGTGGGTAGACTCCTCAAGAAGTTAGATGTCTCATTCTCAGATGTTTGTTTTCTTTATCACAAAATTAACTTGCATGACATGGCAGGGGAATGCCTTTTTTTATATTCAGTAATGATAGAATTTTCTTCTTGCAAATTTGAGATTCTTACACACTGTAAACATGATGGTTGGTTTGATGTCAAGTAATAGTGTGGTATGGCAAGAAACATGTTTGCATGTTCTGAATAATCATATATAGTATTGGACAATCTACTAGAAGCATCCAAACAAAGATTTAGTTTTGTAGTGACTAGTTCTTAAATCCCATCTATGTGGTCTTTTGGGGAGGTGCTCCATCCCTCCAGTTTCAAAGTAAAATTTTAAGTGTTTTACCACATTTTAGACAAACAAGGTTTAATGATTGCTCAATTCTTGACAGTCTTTTTCTTTTTTCTTTGGTACAAATGGATGAACTCATGCACAAAGCTAAATTGTACAGGACTAATTAGCGCTATAAGCATTTTTGGAAGTATTATATATTTTTGGATAGATGTGTATGGAATATATTTCGATAGACTAGTAGTTTTTTTTTTTTTTTGGGTGTATGTGGAAATATTTGGATAGACTAGTTGTATTTTTTGATAGATGCGCATGGATAAAAGTTTAAATTGGAAGAATATATACTTTGGAATTACTTGTGGATGGAAACTTATAATAGTTGCTGATTTTTATTAAACTGGTTAAAGATTTGATGATTTATGTATTTCGTTGAATGTTCATGATTCAGATACTTTGTTGGTATGAATGATTCTTTTTAATAACAGATTAGATTGAATGGATTGGATGGAATATTTGTCTTCAATTACAAGTTTATTTTGTTGGATGTTGGCGACTAATTTGTGGTTTTGCCGACCAAAATGTTGGTAGGCAAAATGGTACATTTTGTAGGCAAAATGGTACATTTTGCGACTAAATAATTAGTCAGTAAAATTGTTAATTTTGGCAACCAAAGAGTTTGGTCGCGAATAGGTCTATTGCCGACTAAAATTTTAGTCGCGCAAACATTACTTTTGGCGACTAACATGTTTGGTCGTGGATTGTGACTTTTGGTGACTAAGGAATGTGACAATTGGCGACTAACATGTTTGGTCGTGAAATGTGACAATTGGCGATTAACATGTTTGGTCGGGAATATGTCACTTTTTGTGACTAAAGTGTTTTAGTGACTAAATGGATTAGTCGCAGTTTAGCGACCAAAAATTTAGTTGGCAAATCCAACTTTTTCCCAACTAACAAAAGTTTTGGTCGCTAATTACTTTTGCCGACCCTAAATTGGCGATCAAAGTGGCGACCAAAAAAATTGGTCGCAAATAACTTTTGCCGAATAAAAATGGACTTTTGCCAACCAAATTTTTAGTCGGCAAAAGTGTGATTTCCTGTAGTGATAGGTCTAAGAGGAAAGTCTGTGGCACTTCCATGGTTAAATTTGATACCAAAGTCCACGTAAAGACTCTGAAATGTTAGGTTTTTTCAATATGATATATTAGAGAGGCATTGGAGACGTCAGAATTGCATTAGGGTATCATTTGGCTCTGTGTTTTCTATGGTTTCTGCAGATTTTTGGATCAGCAGTTTGTGTCGTTTCAATGTTATTACGTGTCTTGATGTTTTGCTTTTGTTTTATGTGGTGTGCTTTGGCAATACATCCCTAAATTTCTGTTTGTCAAAAAATAGATATGAATCACATAGTCAAAAGTAGATATACATATTAGTGAAACTTCTTCAAGAATTTAGTTGTGTTCCTCCTTTAAGGCCACATATTGAAAGTAACAAGATATTGGAATTTAAGGATAATGATCTATATTTTTGTATTTTAGGTACTGAACCAGAAAAGCCAAAGATTCATGATTTATGTTCATTCAAAAGGCATGATAGTGGACGACGAGTATGTAATTATAGGGTCTGCAAACATCAATCAGCATTCAGTGAAGGGCTCCAGAGACACTGAGATTGTAATGGGAGCCTACCAACCTCATCATCCGTGGGCAAGAAAACTATCTAATCCACACTAACCTTTAATGAGATATTTATATTGAATTTTTCACATTTGTTTTAGAATCTCTTATTTATGGAAACAAAATGAATCAAAGTTTTTATGTACGCACTAGTGGAATAAATTCTAAAAGGAAGCTATTAATATTAAAAATAATATAGGCTTTCTTTTCTTTTTTTTCTTTCTTTTTTTTTAATATTTTTATTATAGAAATCAAATTATGAAATTGTCTTCTAGCATGAAGTAATTACAAGATAAACATGGTTGGGCAATTGCCAAAAATAAGACGAGAATGTGATTGATGTCAATTCTAGAAATTCTAACACTAAAAATGGTTAGAAGCCCTTCTTAATTACAATAATTAGTGTGAACTTGTTCCAATTCATTTGGTTAATGCACAATAATAAGAGACTTCATTTTTATGGGCATGTATGTATGCTTTGCAGATCTACGAATATAGAATGGCATTATGGGCATTCATTTTTGCTTCAAATGCCTTAGTTAAGTTCTTCAAGGTTGATAGCCATTTTTGAATTTCATCTACATCTCTTTTACATTTTTGAACTTTGTTTACACTTCTGATCTTTTTGGGTTTTGGATGTCAATTTGTAGCTATGAAATTGAATGTTGTCAAAATGTTATTTCCAACCTTTAGCGACCAAATATAATTATTGTTAAAAAGGTCACTATTTTGCTTTTTGCGACCAAATATAATTGTTAAAAAGGTTACTATTTTGCTTTTGCAACCAAATGGAGACATTTTGTGACGAAGCATTAGGCGACGAAATATTTTAGTTTTGGAAAATCAAATATTTTGTGACGATAAAAAATTCATCACTAATTGTCATTTTTAGGGACACTTTCAAAAATTCGTCGCTAAAAGTCAATTTTGACTTTCCGGACGAACTTTAGCGACTTTTCTGGTGACGAAATTTGTTTTGTCACAAAAAGTTTTTAGTGACCAAAATAATGATTTTAGAGACCAAAATAATTAGTCGCCAAAAGACTTATATGTTATAGTGAAAGATCAAAAGCCTCTAATCTCAAGAGAAGCAACTTGAGCACCAGAATTTTTTAAAATTAGATTTATAGCTAATTTTCTCTTAAACTAAAAAATCATTCATTTAAAAAAAATCTGATAATATATATCTGCAAGTCCAACAATTAAAAAAATAAAAAAATAAAAATAAAAATAAAAAACTATATTATACAAGAAATACTAAACAAATAACTACAAAAATACACCATAATAAAAAATACATAATCAAAACATTATCATCCTAACTTAGTGTACAAGAGTGTTAACCCAATACTCCCTAACAACAGAGACCCCTACTTTTTTTTACACCCCTACTTTATGGGTACTAAGAGACAAGTATGCGAAATAGCTTATCTATATATCTATTTTTTGTACTCAAAAAAACAAAACAAAAAAAGAGTTGACTTTTTTATTGAATTTTTTGTTGATATTTTTTATTTTTCTTATTTTTTAAAAAATTTTTAGATTTTTAGAATCTACTCAGCTAGACCAATTTAAAAAATACAAATAAAAATTTGAAATCCACTCAAGACAACAATAAATAAATAAATAAAAAGTTTTTTTTAACTTTTTAGGTTTTTTTTTTGGTTTTTTTTCTTTTGTCTTTAGTGAATTTTTAATTTTTTTTTTTTTTTTACGTTTTAGATTTTGCCACACTAGATTGATCAAAAAGTAAAAAATGGATGCAAATTTGAAAGGTAAAAAAAAAAACAATAAAGACAAAAATAATTTTAAAAAATATCACTTTTTTAGCTAAATGTCAAACGAAGCCACAATAGTTATTTTGCCTTTAACAAAACGAAGGCAAAATAATAATAAGAGTAGATTATACTTTTTCATCCTTATAGTTTGGTCTAAATTTTATTTTAGTCTCTATTATTTTAATTTAAATAATTATGGTCCTTCCTTCATATTTATTGCAAAATCTATGATAGTGATCGCTTATTTTTAATGCTCAAAAAACAAAAAGATAAAATATATATAAATATAATTTTTTTTCAATGGGGTTGGAGCCCAATAGAGCCTTTTTCGGGTCTCATTCTGATGATCTGAACCATTCACTTTTTAGAAGATATTGAGCAGAATATATCTACAAAAATTTAGGTTAATTGGATTAATAATATTCCTTTCATCAAAACATATTTGTATCTAAAAAATCGAATGATAAATTTAGTTTTACGTATAAATCTGAATACAAACATATCTTAATGAAAGGGATATCAATATCTAATTAACTTAAATTTTTACAAATATGTTCTACTCGATATTTTTCAAAAAGTGAATGGTTCAGATCGTCGGAATGAGAATATATCTTGATGAAAAGGATCCCAATATCCGATTAAATTGAATTTTTATAGGTATATTTTACTCGATTTCTTTTAAAAATTAAACGGTTCACATTGTCGGAATGAGACACAAAAAGACGCCATTAGTCATGCAATCATGCATAACAGCCTCCCCGAACTCCTATTCAATTCCCTACCCAATCATTAAAAAAAAAAAATTATTAGATCATTAAGAGTAAATTTGAGGATCATATTTTATAGCGTGACTAGTCAATTCTAATTAACTCAACAGTTAAATGAATGATCTGATATGGGTTTCAAAATAGGAAAAATTTCATCTCGGTGGCTGTTTAAAAAATATTTTCAATTAATGATAAATTTTCTATATATTAAAAAATAAATTCATATACTTTTTATAACTTTGTAATTAATTTTTGAAAAATTATCTGGGCAGTAATTTTCCCTTCAAAATATTGATATTTTATGTGATGATGTCATTTCGATTAGATATGTTGCAAACAATTTCTCAAATAATTGAATTATCATTAACAATGTTAAGCGAATGTGATCATTAACAATGGTAAGAGAATGTGATCGTCTAGGAAGGGATTAAACTAGTTCAACTAGATGGAGTCTACATTCACTAAATTTGAGTTAAATTATAACTAAAAATTTATTTTTGTATTTTAATTAGTTTTTTTTTTTTTTTTGTATACACTTCATCAGATTCTCTTTTTTTAAATTTAATTTTATAAAATATTTATTTTTATTAGGTGGTCGATCAGGTAAATGACCGCGTGATCGACCACTTGGAGAAAATTATCCAATTTTTCTATTTATTGGGTGGTCGACCGAGTGGATGATCACTTTGTGAAATTTTCTTTAAAATAAATAATAAGATAATGTATAACTTGTAAATAATATATCGATACATAAGCGATAAACTGTAACAATGTCAAAATTTATTTTGTTATAACTAGCCTAATGCAAAGGTTCTTTTGGATCTTATCTGACTAATATAGCCACAAAACTAATATAACAAGCATGATATCCCATTCTAATATTCTTTTCAACACTACAATTTTGAGGATAATACAGAGAAGTCACCTTTTGTTTGTGTTTTTTTTTTTTAATTATGAATTTAAAATAGAAGTTTAAAAAGAACAAAAAATATGAGAAAAATGTAAGTAAAAATTTTTTTATCAATTTCGCATGCATTTCTCTCTCTCTCTCTTACCAAATCTCTACTCAAATTCATAATCTAACTACAGACCGCAAGAATGTAAGTTGTAAAGCAACATGATTTTGCCTCCAAATCTCTTTGTCCTTCTGTTTCAAAACATTCACAACTATTAAACCATTGAAAATTTCAAGATATGGTAATTACATGATAATGATCTAATAATTGAGTGTTTTGAAATATGAGAACAAAGAAATTTGAAGACAGAAGTTTACTATTGTCAAGCAACTGTCGATTCTGAGTCTGGGCAATGGCTTGTTAGTAAAGGGTTTTCGAGATTTGAATCCTCATTCCATGCATTTTCCCTGAAAATTAAAACAAACTGTAAGATAATTTGATAGAAAGAGAATAAATTGTATGTATTATGATTGATTGATGTATTGTATGTTGTGTGTATTACAAGTACTATTATATAGGAGAGGATTTGGGAGTAGGTGAGGAGTAGGTGGAGAGTAGTAGGTGTAGTAGGTAGGTTTGGTGGTAGGTAATAGGTTTTAACAGTCCCCCGCAAACTCAAGGGGGATAGGAACTAACCAACTTGAGTTTGGAGAGAGTAACAAAACAAGAAAAGACATAAAAAATAAAAGAGGATAGGAGACACTGTATGGTCGTGTCAGACCGTTGGTGAAGGCACTGTATGGTCGTGTCATAACGGTGTAGAGGACACTGGATGGTGGTGTCATAATGTTGTAGAGGACACTGGAAAAGCTAACCGGAATCAATGTCGGGACAGTTTATGGGGTCATGTCGGACCGTTGTAGAAGCTGACCGGAATCAATGTCGGGACAGTTTATGGGGTCATGTCGGACCGTAGTAACAGGTTGTGGTGGTGCACCAAGGGGGCGACTTAGGGAGTGCGCCATGAGCGACTTATACATGATACTGTGTATAACCCCCCCTCAAACTCAAATAGGTGTGAAGATAAAAACCTATTTGAGGTTGAAAAGGGATTGATAAAGCTGACCGGTGTAGAAGACACTGTATGAGTGTGTATATAGGCTGCCCAAAAGATATACATGGATGTAGATATCGAGCCCTCAAAAGTCGTGCCCTCAAAAGGTGTGCCCAATCTGTCAAAAGGTGTGCCATCAAAAGGCGTGCCCGATGCATCAAAAGGCGTGCCAGATATGATGGCGAGGCACGTGAGTGCCTTGGCTGGCGTGCCCGTTTGTCTGGCGTCAAGAGGCGCGCGATGCGCGTGGCTGCCTCGGCTATTTAACCAAGACGGAGCCTGAGGCCGAGGCAGAGGTAAAAAAACTTGCGAAATCCTCTGAAAAACTCTTCGTTGTGCTGAGAGAGATAGTCTGTAACACTCTGTTGCGAGAGATATTTTGTAACACTCTGTTGCCCAGAAAATGGCTTCGTCGTCCCGTGGTCTGCTGACTCTCTTTCCCGACCTCAACGAGTCAACAAGAGAGATAAATGACCCATTTTTTACTCAAATTTAGTGAAACATTTGGTACACCGTTGGAGATGCTCTAACTTGAACTTAAAACCATATTCACCTTAACAACTAAATGACCGCTTGAAAAATTGCTCGGGTCTATGTGTTTTGATTACAAAATAGATAGTTTTTGTATTAGATTTTTAATTACTATGGCAATATTCGCTATTCACTTTTAGATTCTGTTAGGCAATAACTAAAAATTCACACTTTTTTTTTTTTTTTATGGAGACTTTTTAAAATTTGTGTCATACTTTTTATTTTCCTTATCAATTTACCAACACTCTGTTTGATTGAAAAAATTGGAAAGAGAAAAGAAAAAAGTGTATGAAACTATATAAAATGTAGGTATATTTTATTCACTTTTCACTTTCCCTTTCCAAACCTCCCAACCAAACACATCGTAAAAATATCTAAAAATTAAAAGGTTTTTGAAAATGTTGACTAAAAGCAAAAATAATAAAAAGCAAAATAAAACTTTTTTAGCTTTTTTTTGTTTGGGCATTTGTCAAATTTTAAAGGTTTTATAATTTAGTAGCACCTAAAATGTGAACGGTATGTTCTACTTAATATATTTTAAAATATGAGCGGTTTGGATTATCAAAATGAGCCCTGAAAATGGCCCAATTGGCTGCACAACAGTGGCTGCTGTGCACCCCCGCACAGCAGCCACCTCAATTCCACCTAAAAGTTTAAAATTTTAAAAAAAGTTTCAAACAGATGATATACACAGAAAATGAAAATATTAACAGTTTACATCATCAGAATGAAACCTAAGACTACACAAAATTGAATATCTCACATGGAAGAGAAACAAGATCCTAAAAAGATCATAAATGAATCATTTAGAAATAACTGGACTAGTTTAGTGAGTCATTTATGTACACTCTTATACATGAAATCAATTCGTGCCAAAGTCAAAGGTTGGGTTAGTTTAGTGGGTCATTTATGTACATCTATTTTTCACATTACAAGCTATTTTTTGTGATACTTGTTGGACTTGAATAGTTTTTTTCTTCCCATTTCTTGTGGTGATTTTTAGATCGTTTGACTACGATTGCATAGATTGATATAATTATTGGCATATTTGCAATTAATCTCCTAAAAATTAGCAAAAAAATCATGATCATTCAAGTTATGTTTAGATTTTGGATAAAGAAAATGAAAATGCAATTTCATTTACTTTGTCCTTCTGCAAATTCCTTCTTAAATTCTTAATCTAAACACAGTCATTGAGTTTGAAGAGTACTTACAAGGGTCGACGAAATGACACATCATTAGCTTTTGGATCCTCAATGAAAGAGTGACTATGAAGTTGCCTTGTAACACTTGAAGTGGTGTCCAAGAAATAGAGCAGAAATGCCATAACACAACAGCAAATAAACATGGGTATGGCACCAAACAGCCAAAGGAATAGAGGAAAAGAGAGATAGAAAGCTCTTAATCCAAGTGACCAAAAGAGGCATCCTCTATTCAAGTTTGCCACAACATACTCAATAGACTCTCTCCTATCCTTAGACGTAGGCAAGGTTGCCAAAAAGCTTACATGTGCATAATACCTGTCGAGAATATAAATAATAAAGTTATTTCTCTTATGCTGTATTTGGTTGGAGGATTTGGGGAGGGATTTGGAAAGGGAAAGGAAAAAGGTGTGTAAAACTATGTGAAATTAAGGCATATTTTATTCTCATTTCATCTATCTTTTCCATTGTCCTTTCCAAATTCCCCCTCAAATCCCCCAACCAAACACAGCATTAAAAATTGGATCAAATTATACAGTTTAGACCAGTTCAATAGATTTTTTTAAACACCCCTAACCTTTACTGCCCATGAATGAGAGTTTGACACCTTGTGAGAGGCTATGTTGAGAATATACAGGCCCGGCCCTGAGCAAGGGCCACGAAGGCAGCTGCCTTGGGCCTCTGATTTGAATTTGATAGCTCAAATGGGCCCAATCTAACAGAACATTCAGGCCCAATTGAAGAATAAATAAATTTGAAGACCCAAAAATACCTTGGGCCTTACATGTTTAAAAAGTTGAGTCCAATAACCTATTAAATTTGTATAAAAGGTTGGGTCCAAACTGAATTGAATTACTAGACGGGGTGTGTGATATTGTGGTGGTTTCTTTTTCTGTTATGTGGCAAATTTTTTTATTCTAAAATAAAAATATATTATTTAAAGGCGTGAGTAAAATTTGAATCCAAGACCTTGAGTTTTATTAAGAATACTCTTACTATTTAAACAACATACATATTATGATATTAATTTCTTTATTATTTATTTTTATGCTTACTTTTCTGAATTGTACATGTATTACTTGTGCCACCCACTAGTATATATATATATATATCAGGATCAGTGATGTCCAGCAACCCATTAGCACATTTTGATGGAAAATTATTTGCTCTATTTTTTTAGGTTTTGGTTCAATTTTTACTGAGTTCAATCTTTTATTATTGTGTGCTCTAACTTTTGTGCCCTAATTTTTGTATTCTATATGGAATAATTTTAAGTTTTTTTTTTTTTTGGTACCTAGGGTTTAAGTTTTGGGGGGCTTAAATTTCTCTAAATTGTGAATTTGGTGAATTTTTTGTAATAATTAATTCTTATCTTAATCTATATAAATCTAGTGATTACTAGCAAATAATTTTTTTTTTATCTTTACCATAACCATTTAAAAAGAAAAAACTTTTTTTTTTGGTCGCCAAAAGGTGATTTTCCGCGACCAAAAAATTGTGGTCGCCAAAAGTTAAATTTTAGTCGCAGAAAGTGGACTATTTGCGACCAAAAAAAATAGGTGGTCACCAAAAGTGTTTTTTCTTGTAGTGTATATATAGTATAGATTTTGTTACATATAATCTGATTTGCTTTTGGAATTGAATCAACTATAGCGTTGGTAACCACTGGGAATAAGAACTTTGAAGCCAAATTGGTGGGTATTGAATCAACTCACATTGAAGCATGATCACGATTGGAGTAATGGTTTACTTTAAGATAGTTTGGGCAAATTTTAATGTAGGTATGGTTTAATTCCTTAATGGATTGTTTAGAAATTTCCCTTTTTATGATTTAATTCTATTTTGGTGTGTTTCTTCTATTCTTTCATTTTCTTATTTTCTGATGTGATGAATTATTTTGCATTTTTTTAAGTACATGATTGCCTATATATTCTTGGTCATTATTGTAAGATAATTTGATAGAAAGAGAATAAATTGTATGTATTATGATTGATTGATGTATTGTATGTTGTGTGTATTACAAGTACTATTATATAGGAGAGGATTTGGGAGTAGGTGAGGAGTAGGTGGAGAGTAGTAGGTGTAGTAGGTAGGTTTGGTGGTAGGTGATAGGTTTTAACACAAACAATCTAAACTGACGCAACTAATGTTATTTTAACTTGAAAGTTAAACTCATTTCAAATCCAATAATGTCAAGTAATACTGAAACAAATTGAGATTGGAAACGGTAACCATAAAAAGGAAAATTTACCTAATTGGATAGATCTTGTACAAGGAAAGCCTGCCCTATTATAAACTGGCAAAACTTTTGCACTAAAATTCATAACATCAACCACAAAATGAGTAATCTCACCACAAACTAGTTTAACAAAATGTCTAAAATTTTATTATTCATGTTACAAAAGTTTGTAGCTTAATTATTACATTTTTTGTTATGTCAATTGGTGGTGAGGTTATACACTTTTGGTTAATATTATGAAATTTTGTAATAATATTACGACAATTTGTGATAAGGTGCACACCATAAGATTTCCCACTTGTACAGGAATGTTTTTAATCTCCACAGGAATAGTCACCTAGCTATGTGTTTTGATTTTTTTTTTTTTCACAAGATAATGGTTAGTATGATAGGTAATTATTAGATTATAATATAAGCAATTGTCTTCCATTAAGACCATCTCCAACGGTGAACCAAACCTGGCATCAAATTTAAAATTTGGTGAAAAAGTCACTTTTTTAAGCTCCAACGTTTTCACCAAATCGATATCAAATCCAGAATTCAGCAAAAATGGTACCAAACTGAGTGCAGGCGAAGCATTTCACCAAAACACTGTTCCTAACCGTTGGGATGAGACGAACGGGTCGACCATCCGGTTGACCAACCGGTTAACCAACCGGTCGCCCCGGAGAAAGTTCAGACCGTTCACAAAAAGGTTCAAACCAGTCCAAAAAAAAAAAAAACTGCCTAGGAAGTGGTCGACCACCAAAAGTTCAAAAAATTCAAAAAAAAAAAAGGTTCAAACAGGTAAAAAAAAAAAAAAAAAAAAAAATTTGCCTAGGTGGTCGACCACCCGGTCGACCGGCCGGTTGACCACCCGGTCGACCACCAAAAGTTCAAAAATGAAAAAGTTCAAAAAAAAAAGGTTCAAACCGGTAAAAAAAAAAAAAAAAAATTTGCCGTTACCGGTTGACCGGCCGGTTGACCGGCCGGTCAACCAACCGGTCGCCCAGCACAAATTTGATGAAACGGATTTGATGTTGAACCGTTGGAGCGCGAAGTATCAAATTAAAGAAATGACCCATTTTTTACTCAAATTTAGTGAAACATTTGGTACACCGTTGGAGATGCTCTAACTTGAACTTAAAACCATATTCACCTTAACAACTAAATGACCGCTTGAAAAATTGCTCGGGTCTATGTGTTTTGATTACAAAATAGATAGTTTTTGTATTAGATTTTTAATTACTATGGCAATATTCGCTATTCACTTTTAGATTCTGTTGGGCAATAACTAAAAATTCACACTTTTTTTTTTTTTTTATGGAGACTTTTTAAAATTTGTGTCATACTTTTTATTTTCCTTATCAATTTACCAACACTCTGTTTGATTGAAAAAATTGGAAAGAGAAAAGAAAAAAGTGTATGAAACTATATAAAATGTAGGTATATTTTATTCACTTTTCACTTTCCCTTTCCAAACCTCCCAACCAAACACATCGTAAAAATATCTAAAAATTAAAAGGTTTTTGAAAATGTTGACTAAAAGCAAAAATAATAAAAAGCAAAATAAAACTTTTTTAGCTTTTTTTGTTTGGGCATTTGTCAAATTTTAAAGGTTTTATAATTTAGTAGCACCTAAAATGTGAACGGTATGTTCTACTTGATATATTTTAAGCGGTTTGGATTATCAAAATGGGCCCTGAAAATGGCCCAATTGGCTGCACAGCAGTGGCTGCTGTGCACCCCCGCACAGCAGCCACCTCAATTCCACCTAAAAGTTTAAAATTTTAAAAAAAGTTTCAAACAGATGATATACACAGAAAATGAAAATATTAACAGTTTACATCATCAGAATGAAACCTAAGACTACACAAAATTGAATATCTCACATGGAAGAGAAACAAGATCCTAAAAAGATCATAAATGAATCATTTAGAAATAACTGGACTAGTTTAGTGAGTCATTTATGTACACTCTTATACATGAAATCAATTCGTGCCAAAGTCAAAGGTTGGGTTAGTTTAGTGGGTCATTTATGTACATCTATTTTTCACATTACAAGCTATTTTTTGTGATACTTGTTGGACTTGAATAGTTTTTTTCTTCCCATTTCTTGTGGTGATTTTTAGATCGTTTGACTACGATTGCATAGATTGATATAATTATTGGCATATTTGCAATTAATCTCCTAAAAATTAGCAAAAAAATCATGATCATTCAAGTTATGTTTAGATTTTGGATAAAGAAAATGAAAATGCAATTTCATTTACTTTGTCCTTCTGCAAATTCCTTCTTAAATTCTTAATCTAAACACAGTCATTGAGTTTGAAGAGTACTTACAAGGGTCGACGAAATGACACATCATTAGCTTTTGGATCCTCAATGAAAGAGTGACTATGAAGTTGCCTTGTAACACTTGAAGTGGTGTCCAAGAAATAGAGCAGAAATGCCATAACACAACAGCAAATAAACATGGGTATGGCACCAAACAGCCAAAGGAATAGAGGAAAAGAGAGATAGAAAGCTCTTAATCCAAGTGACCAAAAGAGGCATCCTCTATTCAAGTTTGCCACAACATACTCAATAGACTCTCTCCTGTCCTTAGACGTAGGCAAGGTTGCCAAAAAGCTTACATGTGCATAATACCTGTCGAGAATATAAATAATAAAGTTATTTCTCTTATGTTGTGTTTGGTTGGAGGATTTGGGGAGGGATTTGGAAAGGGAAAGGAAAAAGGTGTGTAAAACTATGTGAAATTAAGGCATATTTTATTCTCATTTCATCTATCTTTTCCATTGTCCTTTCCAAATTCCCCCTCAAATCCCCCAACCAAACACAGCATTAAAAATTGGATCAAATTATACAGTTTAGACCAGTTCAATAGATTTTTTTAAACACCCCTAACCTTTACTGCCCATGAATGAGAGTTTGACACCTTGTGAGAGGCTATGTTGAGAATATACAGGCCCGGCCCTGAGCAAGGGCCACGAAGGCAGCTGCCTTGGGCCTCTGATTTGAATTTGATAGCTCAAATGGGCCCAATCTAACAGAACATTCAGGCCCAATTGAAGAATAAATAAATTTGAAGACCCAAAAATACCTTGGGCCTTACATGTTTAAAAAGTTGAGTCCAATAACCTATTAAATTTGTATAAAAGGTTGGGTCCAAACTGAATTGAATTACTAGACGGGGTGTGTGATATTGTGGTGGTTTCTTTTTCTGTTATGTGGCAAATTTTTTTATTCTAAAATAAAAATATATTATTTAAAGGCGTGAGTAAAATTTGAACCCAAGACCTTGAGTTTTATTAAGAATACTCTTACTATTTAAACAACATACATATTATGATATTAATTTCTTTATTATTTATTTTTATGCTTACTTTTCTGAATTGTACATGTATTACTTGTGCCACCCACTAGTATATATATATATATATCAGGATCAGTGATGTCCAGCAACCCATTAGCACATTTTGATGGAAAATTATTTGCTCTATTTTTTTAGGTTTTGGTTCAATTTTTACTGAGTTCAATCTTTTATTATTGTGTGCTCTAACTTTTGTGCCCTAATTTTTGTATTCTATATGGAATAATTTTAAGTTTTTTTTTTTTTTTTGGTACCTAGGGTTTAAGTTTTGGGGGGCTTAAATTTCTCTAAATTGTGAATTTGGTGAATTTTTTGTAATAATTAATTCTTATCTTAATCTATATAAATCTAGTGATTACTAGCAAATAATTTTTTTTTTATCTTTACCATAACCATTTAAAAAGAAAATTACAAAAGAACACCTCTTAAGCTCTTTTAGGATCCTATGAGAACATAAATAATAAAGTTCTAACCGCTTAAATTTGTAAATGAGTTAGTCGTCAAAATTGAGTAGTCCTTTTTTTTCTTTTTTTCTTTTTTTTTTTGGAACCGAAAATTGAATAGTACCTGATACACTGCACATTGCAAAGAAAGGCAACAAGGAAGCAGAACAAGATTGCAAAGTACTTGAGGGAGGATGCAATGGGAGTTCTATCGCCAACATTAAGTAACTGTGACGACGATGATGATGATAATGAGTTGTGATTGGAGTTTGATTCATTGCTAACATAAACACTGATCAGCGAACAAAGAGTGATGGCTGTAGTTGCAAGAAGTGTCGATGCCATTATGTTGTTGCGTATCGTCTGAACTATCAAAACACCATTCTTTAGCGGATCCTGAAAACAATACCATAGTGTTATTGAACCAAATGATAAAGAAAAACAAGAACAAAATGAAATAGACAACTTTTTTAGAATTCATGGAATAAACTAAAACAAAAATAGAAGGAAATAGAAAACTCTATCAGAATTTTATTGATAGCTTATAGCTCTATTTATAGGGAGACTGACTTGCTAAACATGCCATACTCCACCTCACAGTTACAATAATTGCTCACTAATCATGCCATAATTACATAAAAATTTACCATTGTAATAAATTTGAGTTCAAATTTGAAATCTAAAATAAATAGGATACTTCTTGAAGAAATCCTAACTCAAAATGGATTATTGACTGAAGCTCTTAATCGAGTAATCTAATCTTTTCAAAAATAGTAAATTTTCAAATTTAAAGACTTTAACAAAGAATTTGGCAAAAATCCAGAATATGTTATCGTTTTTTTTTATTAAAGGATCAAATTGCTCCATTAACTTGTTATGTAATAGCACTACATCATCCTCAAAATCAAAATCTTCACAATGAATTTCACCACTTTTTTTCACCTCCTACATTGATTCGCGACTAACATGTGTATGTATAAGATCTATTATTTTCTAGATATAGTATGTCTTAGATATTCATATGACGTTTGTTGTGTGAATCAACTTTGGTGGTGAAAAAAATATTGAAAAATTTATCCAATGATAAATATCAATTTCCATTATGACAAAATTTTTAGTTGAAGGAAACGGGGTTATCATTTCTAGAAACTGGAAATGTAAAGCATATATAGGGGAAAAAATAAATCAGTCCCTATAATTTTTGCGAGATTTTACTTTTGTCCTTGTAATTCAAATTTCATAAATTTTAACCCTATATTTTCAAATAAGAGGCTATGTGCACATAACTTATAACAAAATGGGGTAAAGTAAGGTGCAGTTCAAAAGAGAAGAAGAAAATAAGAATATTTAAGTCAATTTACAAGTGTTGTTAACAAAAGTTAATGGTGTGTTTTAATTCATATATCACAAGGGGTTAAATGATTATTTTTAATAGACATAAATTATGGGCACATGGCCTATACAACCGGGAATAAAATAAAATTTGCCCAAGAATTTTTTTTTCATTTACACAAACGTTTTATGCAGCTAACCAAAAATGTATTTTGTTACCCAAAATAAAATTAGTAGTTGTTGTAGCTGCCTTGGGTTTATTAAAATTGTGTTTAGTTCATAAATTTGGATAGAAATCTAAAAAAAAAAAATGAAATGTATATATTTTACCCACATGTTCTCTTTCTCTTTCTCTTTGCAAATTCCTATCTAAATTTATGAAGCGAACACAGCATAAATGCCTGGACTTCTGGATTTGTAGAGATAGGAGAATGAGAAAAAAAAATTATGAATGACTTATGTTTGGACTTGGTTTTGAAAATGCGTGCATTGCATACCGAAAAAATCTCCCTTGCTTTTTGACAATTTGTTTCAGTTGTAGTTGTGATTCAATTTGAGATTCATAATTAAGATTAGTAAAACTACAAAATAATAAATAAGAAAGATAATACGAATCAAATCAATCACATGCATAAGAACACATACATTTATGTGATTCACCCTCATAATACAATTACGTCTACAATTACCTTCACGGTCACTGAGATTTTTACTATGATAAAAAATAAATAAATAAATAAAAATTACAAACACAATATAAGGAATGATTATTCAGTACTTCCGGCGTATGGACACGTAATGTTCTATAAGATTTTAATTAGTGAAGAGGTGTAAGAACCCACAATTCATGTTAGGGATAAGAGAACACATGAACTAAGTAATTGATGATTGATTTGGAGTATAATCACGTAGTACTCCAAGAGTATTTAATAATTTCCCTAACACAAGAGTGCCCCTTATCTATTTATTAGGGCAACCGAAAGACACACAAAAAAAAAAATTATCAAAGTGCCCAACTCCCGAGAGGTCGCCCAAACCCCTCATACGACTCATGGCTCGATATTCAGTCCGTAATACCCAACCATTGAGGAATCAATCCCTCTCTCACATAATCAATAAGATGAAAAACAGCTGTCTCTTTCAGTTCAATTAGTTTCCAAAAAAAGTGTAGATCTCAAAAATGTGTTTTAAATTTTAAGCTCTCAAATTTCTCTATATGGCTAGAAGTGTAAAGCTACCTCAGATTGGATCTAGTTAGAGAATATTATTCAAAACTTGAAGTAGACGATTACATGATGTAAAGAGATCATCAAACATGGATATTGCTCATCTTCAACAACTTATTTCTTCATAAAAAATTCTCAACTAAGGTGAAGGAAAGTGAAGACCTTTGGTGGGTACTTATAACTACTAATATTTGACTTACAAGACATGCTCTGTCCTTACCATCAAGATTAATTATGGTTAACATAAGATAAAACAAATCTATAACTATGCTACATGTCTGGAGAGAGAGAGAGAGAGAGAGACTAACAGCCATCATGGAGAAGACCCATTGGTGACGACTCTCAGCATTCAAACCAATGACAGTTCTTTTAGGATTGTGACGAATTGTAAAGACAAGCCAACCATGGTATAAGCCCAGAACCCCCATACCCAATCCTATAAGCACATGCTCCAACTCCACCCCCTCCAATTCCATCCTCACTATCTTTCTTTCTCTCAAAAACAGCTTCTACACAGCAAGAGAGAGAAAGAAACAGAGGAGGTCACAGAGAGAAGTTATGGAGAAACAGAGGGTGAGTGGCCCATAGATCAAGATGACTCCATATATAAAAGAGATGAAGACAAATGTGTCACAGATGGATTCAGAATGATTGATAAAGTGGGGGGTTGTACATCAATTATAAAATAAAATAAAAATACATTAATGTCAATTTCCGTCTGCAAATATCAACTTCTTGTTGTAGCCCAAAAAATAAAATAAAAAAATGAAAAAAATATTATAAGTTTTAAATTTTGTATTAAAAAAATTATCAAATATTTTATATATATTTAATTATTTATTTAATAAAAAATTTGATATCTTAATATTATCCAAAAAAATAAAAATTAATAATGTATATATACATATATAGAATTAATCACATTAGACAATGTCTCCAATTAAATCACATTAATTAAAGGGCAAATTACACAAATAGTCTATATAATTTGGGGCTTGTGTCATTTTGGTTCCTGACTTTTCAATTGTGACACATTTGACCCTGAATTTTGAATCTTGTTTCAAATAAGGACAATTGAATATATAATTAGATTTTTCAAGGGTACAATTGTCAATTTGATAAAATATAAACTAATTTGAAAAAAATAAATGTCAAACAAATATTTTTGAATTTTTAAAAATTATTTTTATCTACTAAAAATAAAATTATGTAAAATTGATAAATCTTTTAGACATTTATTTATTTATTTTTACCAAATTGATTTTTATTATGTGTTTGGATGATGATCATATAAAATTAATTTTAAAAAATTAATCATGTAATTTTTTATTAATTTTACATAATTTTATCATTGGTGGATAAAAATAATTTTAAAAAAATTAATATTTTTTTGACATTTATTTTTGTCAGATTAGTTTATATTTTATCAAATTGACAATTGTACCCTTGAAAAATCTAATTATATATTCAATTGTCCTTATTTGAAACAAGATTCAAAATTCAGGGTCAAATGTGTCACAATTGAAAAGTCAGGAACCAAAATGACACAAGCCCCAAATTATATAGACTATTTGTGTAATTTGCCCTTTAATTAATGTGATTTAATTGGAGACATTGTCTAATGTGATTAATTCTATATACATGAAATGTACTCTGGAAACATCTTCTTGGACATGACTGAAACATGATCTAATGTAATTTCACATTAATTTCTCCTCATGATCTTTTTGGACATGCATGCACAAGCATGGCAAATTAATCCCCCAGAAACATGTATATTTCATATTTCCAGAGTATATGTTCCTATCAGCTCAAATCAGCGAAACATTGGCAATAATCATGTAATTTTTTATATTCTTCACTGTGAAGTTGGTACATACCTAAACTACTTTCTCACCTCAAAAAGATACAAATGCATGCCCTAACACAGGACATGCTGATATATAGGTAACTGCTTACTAGAGGCACCTTCCAACTCAAGAATAAACTTCAGAAAGAAAACTAATGACAGAGTTCTTTCATTACTACTCTAATTTCAAGAATAACATTTTATAAAGCCAACGCCTACAATGATCAACATACAGACCCAATGTCATCAGTTCTTGATCCCTCTTTCATGGAGCTGATGTGAAGACGCCGTGTAAAAGTGGTAGTGGTGTCCAAGAAATATAGCACAAATGACATTATGCAGCAACACACCAACATGGGTATGGGACCAAAGATCCAAAGGAAGAGAGGGAACGACAGATAAAATGCTCGTAACCCAAGCGACCAAAACAAGCTTCCTCGATTCAAGCTTCTAGCGACATACTCAATAGATTCCCTTTTGTCTATCGACGTAGGCAAGGTAGCCAAGAAGCTAACATGAGCATAGTACCTAATAGATTGCACATTGCAAAGAAAGGCAACAAGGAAGCATAACAAGATAGCAAAGTACTTGATTGAAGACACTATGGGAGTTTTGTTTCCATAAACTATTTCCGATGATGCAGTGGAAGAGCTTGATGCGTTGCTCACAAAAACACTGATCAGTGAACTAAGAGTAATGGCCGTTGTTGCCAAAAGCGTAGACGCCATTATGTTGTTGCGTATTGTTTGGACAATCAAAACCCCATTCTTCAGTGGATCCTGGGAAATAGCTCAATCGTATTATTTCGCAAAATTCAAATTAAGACCTATGCTTGAATTGTACATCATTCACTGAGAAAATTGATTATCATTCTAGAAATCATTAATATACAAAATGCAGATAACATAATTGCCAAATTATTAGGTCTAAGTAGGAGACTGCTACGCAATGCGCATCCATAAAGTTGGTGTTTTAGTAGAAACGTTTATCAAGGAATGGACTTGCACCTGGAACAAAGACCTCCGCAATGGGGATTTAAACACCAAAACACTTAAATATAAAATTAACTATCACAAAAATATATCAAGAATTAAGAAATCAATGAACAGAAAATAATAATGTCCTTAAATAAAAGTAGGGAATTCACACTTTTAGCATGTAACACTGATGAGAGAGACACAAGAAGTCATTGATGACATTTATGCACAGATATAGTGAGAAGAAAATTAATGACCATTTTTCCTCCAGGTTATTGCACATCTAGATGTTCATAATAGAACTCACAACCAACCAAACTCTAAACGGCACCAAAGACTCCAACTTTATTTAGTTTCCTTTCTGTAACCATATGAAAATACATTGAATACCCAAAAGATAGAGATTGATGGCAATAGGCTTGGTAATAGGTCTAAATGTCTCAACATAATCAACACGAAGCCTTTAGCAACCAATTGAGCTTTATATGACCAATTGAACCATTGAGTTTCTACTCTTGAATACGTGTTGATAACAAACAACATTAGTAGCTCAAAAGGGGGGAACAAGGACCCCCATGCCACTCCTAAAGAGGATTTGGTGGGCTAAGTGCAACAAGAAGTCATCTTAACTGCATCCAGCAATAGATTCAGTCATGTGCACAGTGATTTGTCAATGCCGAACCGAGTGATCAAGGGATGGGTATGATCAACTGATGGATCAACGGATGGAAAAATGAGGAATCAACTCCAAATGAAAATCTTGTGGGAGAGATATACAAATTCTATTCAAAGAAGGAAATATTTCCACTACTGTTCTAGCAGGATAGTGGGTTTCAACATCCATAGCCTTTTTATTAACCAGAATAGTCAAAGGAAATGCATAAATGTAGCTCTAACTGGAACAACGTTCAGGAACACTTTGCTACAGATTGAATGACGGTGTTACACTCAGCATGACATAGGTAGCGAAAAAGGGATATGAGTTGGCACATCCTCCTTGCATGTGTGATAAGAGATGAGAGGAAGTTATACCTAATAATCAGAAATTCCTTGGATACTTCCTTAGTTATGATCCTCTGTTGAAGTAAGTACCCATGTTGGGCACTTTATGGTAACACTAGCACATCATTAAACCATAGTGTTCAAGAAAAAGTAAAATTAAAGGAATTAACCATCTTTGCAAATCTTAAGAATGGAGAACTAAACATAGCCAATAATTGACATATACAGGCACCCATTAGAGGAGAAAGTTTATTTCAAGCCAGACTTAAAATATAAGTAGAAAATAAACCAAAGGGGTCAAAACCCAACAACAAAGGAAAGTTACGCAATAGTACAGAGCACGGGATTTGAGCTTAAACAACAGGGGAAGGCATATAATTAACAGATTGAAATCAAACAGTTAACATCTTTCCTGAACCCTTTTCCCTCAAGACATTTTAATGAATGGGTTGTGAGCAAGATCCAACAAATGGGTTTTCATTTATCACAATAAACCATTTGCTTACAAAGCATGAACAACAAAAGGTTTCAAAAAAATATCCACTACCAAACAGAACTTAAAATTTTCTAAAACAACCCAACATAATTTGGGAATAATCATGAGCAACCTTGGTTTTTGAGGTCCTCGTATAATACTACTGAGAACCCAAATAAATAACAGATTTGCAGATTGTGGTTAAGATTGGGTTGTTGAGACAAAGTATCATGAAATCAATGAACACAAACTGTGTCTATGAAACCAATATCAAGTAAAATTAGACTATCTTCACAAAAGAAACCAAGATACCACAAACCCAGTTGAAATAGTAAGTATCAGAGACAATAATAAGCAAATATATGAGAAAAGAGTGTGTAATTTATAAGGGGGAGAGACTAACAGTCATCATGGAGAAGACCCATTGGTGGCGGCTCTCAGCGTTGAGGCCAACGACAGTGCGTCTGGGATAACGAATTATGGAGAAGAGAAGCCAAATATGGTATGAGCCAAACACGGCCAAACCCAATGGTACCAGTACATAGTCCAACTCTTTTTCTTCCATCTGCCCTTTGTCCAAACCACAACTCAACCTTCCTTCCCTCTCTCTCTCTCTCTCTCTCTCTTTCTCTCTCAGATGTAAGAATACAGACAGAAAGGCAGCAGAAAATATGTTTGAAAGTGGCAAAGGGAAAAAGCGAATTTACTTGGCCAAAAAATGAATTTGTCTGCTAGAAATTTTAAATAAATTATCAAATTTTATACTATTGTGCGAGATTTTACATATGTAATTGGTGTAAATCCTACAATTATACGAAAGATTTGATAAAAAAAAATTAATAATTTGTTTGGGAACATACCAATTTGTTAAGCAATCGTTCGGGTTGAGCTAGGTTTAGACACAATGATTGTATGCACTATGAGTACTTAATGATTGAGAAAATAGGATAGAGAGGGTGTGAGATATTTTAATTGATTGTTTTATTATTGGATTTTAAAAAAAAAAAAGTTATATTTGAGATATTTTTTTAACTAATTTGATAGTTGTGAAAATAAAAATAAAATAATTATAATTTACATGTAATATTTCATCTTATTACTTAAATTAGTATATTTTGTCTTTATTAACTAATTTAATTGAAGTAACTCATGACAAACAAAGCCTAGGTTATTTTGGAGATGAATTATAAAATGACTTTTATTTTTTTATAACAAAATATCTAAAAAGATAAAGAACGGATACGATTCAAATAAATCAGTAAACAACTTATAACTCATGTTCTCAGATGAGCTCATTGTGTAGCCTGATAGGGTGACGAACCATTCCTACGTGGACCACAAATCACAAAAAGGCCCTGTTTGGCAAAAGTTTTTTTTGATTTTTTGAGTTAAAATTTATAAAAAGGTAAAACAAGTTAAAATAATTAATAAGGTAAAATGTCACATCAAATTCATAATCATTTTATTTTTTCTCTCAGAAATATCACATCTAACTATAAAAAACTCTAACTATCTTCCCAAAATAAATATTTTAACTTACTAAAATAACTGACTAAAATAACTAACTTCCCAAACAAAGTCAAAGTATAATGATTGTGCCCTCACTTGGCATTTTGAGTTGGGAGATTAAAATGTTAAAATAGTCGTAAAAAATAAAATAGATTAAAAATTTAATAAAATAAAAAATATTATTATTAGTATCTCATCAATTATTTTGAACCTCCTATTTCTTTAGACCTCTATTTATAAATTTTAAAACTCTTAAAATTGCTTGGATAAATTACAATTATACTCTCTGAGGTTTGCTCAAAATACTGATTAGCCCTATGATTTGAAAAATTACCAATACCCCTTATTAGAATTTTTTATTTAACAGAATTAACTGAAAAAATAAAATTCATAATTGCTCTCTTATACAATAATAAAATTACCTAAATTATTAATTAAAACATATTTTTAACATCATTAAAAACTATTAATTGACTTAATGATTTATTAATAAAATGGACAATTTGTTATAAAATTAGAAACTTTAAGGGGTGAAATGTAATTTTTAAAACCACAATGGGTAATTCGTATTTTAATAAAATCTCAGGGGATGTATTTGTAATTTATCTAAATTTCTTCTATCTCCCAAATAATAAAATTATCTTTATGAAGACGTTATACACATTCAATTGAATGCACACCCTCACACCCCAAAAAGTCTCTCTACCAAAAACTGTAACAAAACTCACAAAGGTGATTATTACTTCATCCTCACATACTTATTCATGACCTCAAAAAATAAATGTAAGATTTGTTTTTTGTTTATTAAAAATTCTCCTTTTTTGGATTCTGTGATTTTCACGTGTTTGGATTTGTGATCTCTCAGGTGAGTTTCTTTGAATTATCTAACAGTTTCAATTCTTGTTCCTTATCTTACTTGGGTTTTGTGATTTTAAAGTTTGAAAATGGTTCATTAATAATGTTCGGTTATTTGTTCCTGACAAGTAAGAAATGTTCGATTACCTATTCCTGAACAAATAAATAATGTTTGGGCATGTGTTCCTGAGTTTCAGTCATATGTCTGGAAGTTCAGTCCCAAAAAAATGATGAACAATTTTTATTATTTTTGTTGTTTATTTCAAGAAACTGACCCTTACAAAGCCAATCTTTCTGAATTAAGACCATCAAAGTTATGAATTTCCTCTGAGCTTTTTATTGTTGTACCATTTTCATCTCATGAAGTTATGATTGTCGAAAAAATTCCCAGTCATTGCTGGAGAAGTATAGATAATCAAATAGTTGTCAATGTTACCGCAGGAATATTGCTGCAAATGGTTTTCAAGATTTTAAGGGTGAGTAGGTTTTGATAGTAGGATTTGGAGAAGATGGATGGATAGTGATGGAAATGGGCGCTCTCATAAACGCTAACTCATGATGTAGTGGATGTGTAGGCTTAATTGTGAGATAGGGTGTCCCAAAATTATTAATGTCCATTTTAGTAATTTCATTTGAGATTATTATTGTTATAAAAAATAAAAATAAAAACTAAAAAATGAAGAGTTCAAAATAATTGATAGATTGATAATAGCAGAACTCTAAGATAAAATGTTATATCTAAATCATAATCATTTTATTTTTTTCTCACAAAAGTCAAAAAAGCCAAAAAGTTTAACTCAAACGAGCCTTTTTAGCCCAGGTTAAAATAGCCAAAACTCAAAAAGTCAATCCACTTCCCAAACTAAAACTAAGCTTGTTGTCTTATTTTTTATTTTTTTTTTAAGGAAAATAACAAAATTAGTGGAGATGTTGAAAAAAATTCAAATATGATATTAAATATAAATTTTAATTCATATTTATATTAATTATTGTTAAAAAAGTACACTGCCCGAATGTAATTTTCCTGTTTAACAAAACTAAAAATTATTGTTTTCTTCTTTGTCGTTTTGGCACCTAAAATTAATATATGCTATGTTACCAAACCATCATGTGCAGCATTACGAGGTGAAAACGCATTATAACGCTTTCGTCTATCAGTTGCAACTTGCATACCAGGCTGCATGACATTGACAAATCGTTGCATGACACCCACTTACCAATTGTCCTGAAATTTTAATTAGCAAAGCTCATTTTTTTCCTTTACTCTGCTTTCCTTTTGATAAAATAAAATAAAAATAATAAAAATCATCCAAGCCTATAGGATGGAGTGAATTAGGGGTTTTGAAAGTGAATAAAAGTAAAATTGACTTTTTAATTTTTTTTATCTCTCTCT